GTGAGGGACGAGTGAGGGACGAGTGAGGGACGAGTGAGGGACGAGTGAGGGACGAGTGAGGGACGAGTGAGGGACGAGTGAGGGACGAGTGAGGCAGAGTTAAGATAAAGCGATAGCTAACTAAAAGCTGCTCGAACCAGAGTGAGGACAAACCGAAAATTAAGTGATTATAGGACGATATGTCTTATATATAAGTTATAAGTTATATATATAAGTTATATATATAAGTTATAGTTATATAAGTTATATATAGGACGATATGTCCTATATATAAGATATAAGTTGAGGGAAAAGGAAGGATAGAACGACTGGAACGACTAGCATGTTAGCAGAGTGAACGCAGAGTGAGGGCAAAATGTTGGCAGAGTGAGAGACCAGTAAATATGAAGTGAATGTGGAGTGAAGAGGGAGTGAGAGATTTTGGAAGTGGGGGAATGAGGGATTTTAAGGAGTGGAGGAATGAGGGATTTGAGGAGTTGGGAATGAGGATTTTAGGGAGGAAGGGAATGAGGGATTTGAGAAGTGGAGGAATGAGGGATTTAGGGAGGGAGGGAATGAGGGATTTCGGGAGTGGGGGAGTGAGGGATCCCACGGTCCCACAGGACGAGGGGATCTCTGCGTCTCTCATCACCTTGTCCCAGCGTCCCGAGGGACGGCCAGGCGAGCCCTCAGGTGCGAGCGACAGCCTGCCTGGGACCTGGCCCAGGTTACAGCATTAGCTGGGACATAGACATTAGTTGGGACATAGACATTAGTTGGGACATAGACATTAGTTGGGACATAGATATTAGTTGGGACATAGACATTAGTTGGGACATAGACATTAGTTGGGACATAGACATTAGTTGGGACATAGACATTAGTTGGGACATAGACATTAGTTGGGACATAGACATTAGTTGGGACATAGACATTAGTTGGGACATAGACATTAGTTGGGACATAGACATTAGTTGGGACATAGACATTAGTTGGGACATAGACATTAGTTGGGACATAGACATTAGTTGGGACATAGACATTAGTTGGGACATAGACATTAGTTGGGACATAGACATTAGTTGGGACATAGACATTAGTTGGGACATAGACATTAGTTGGGACATAGACATTAGTTGGGACATAGACATTAGTTGGGACATAGACATTAGTTGGGACATAGACATTAGTTGGGACATAGACATTAGTTGGGACATAGACATTAGTTGGGACATAGACATTAGTTGGGACATAGACATTAGTTGGGACATAGACATTAGTTGGGACATAGACATTAGTTGGGACATAGACATTAGTTGGGACATAGACATTAGTTGGGACATAGACATTAATTGGGAGATAATACGTTATCTAAGCATATATCTGGCGCCACATACCGCAATGCATCTGCTAACATCACATTATTACAAGACTGCAGATGTACATACATGTATATGCACATCTGTATATTTCCTCATATATATCACGCTATAATGCACTAATGCATCTCCAAACATGCACAACACATCGCTATCAAATTTCGAAACGTTTCACACTATAATGCACTAATATATGTCCTAACATGAACAACATATCTATCAAATTATGATACATTTCACGCTATAATGCACTGATGCATACCTAAACATGCACACCATATCCCTATGAATTCATGATACATTTCACGCTATAATGCACTAATACATGTCCAAACATGCACAACATATCCCTATCAATTAAATATAAGTTTCATGCTATAATGCACTAATACATGTCCAAACATGAGCACATGTTTCACGCTGTATAGAGTAACGCACGCTAAGCAGTTATGAAGATGCAAGATCACTTCCATCAACAAGCCTCATTCAGGCGCTGTACATAGACCACAGAAATCCATCCTTATTAAAGCAGGCAGTAATTACAGCCGTGGCTTGGGTAGCCTCTTGTCTTCAATGCCGAATAAAATCATAATAAAAACAGCGAGGCACATGTGTGAGAGAATAGGTAAAAATTTTAAATAATAGACGTCGATCGAGCGTCTTTTCTTCTTCGATGATATTCGTTCCCTCACCGATGATATTCGTTCCCTCACCGATGATAGTCGTTCCCTCACCGATGATATTNCGATGATATTCGTTCCCTCACCGATGATATTCGTTCCCTCACCGATGATATTCGTTCCCTCACCGATGATATTCGTTCCCTCACCGATGATATTCGTTCCCTCACCGATGATATTCGTTCCCTCACCGATGATATTCGTTCCCTCACCGATGATATTCGTTCCCTCACCGATGATATTCGTTCCCTCACCGATGATATTCGTTCCCTCATCGATGATATTCGTTCCCTCACCGATGATAGTTGTTCCCTCACCGATGATAGTTGTTCCCTCACCGATGATATTCGTTCCCTCACCGATGATAGTTGTTCCCTCACCGATGATATTCGTTCCCTCACCGATGATAGTTGTTCCCTCACCGATGATAGTTGTTCCCTCACCGATGATATTCGTTCCCTCACCGATGATAGTTGTTCCCTCACCGATGATATTTCTTTCCCTCGTCATCGTGCATCACAGAGTCCTGTTCATGGAGCCCAATTAGAGGCGTGTCATAGGCGGCCGCTGATGATCGATGGCCGGCCGCTGTGTGCGGGAATTGTTCGTATAATAAGAGTTACGTGGGCGGTAATCTGGGGAACTGTGGGGACAGAGTCACTCTGTTCAGCCCCAGCCCATGGGGACATGGAGACGGGGTACGGAGAAGAAAGGGGAGAAATAGGGACGGAAGAGGAATATGGGGAAATGGGGTTACGGGATAAATTGATGAGAAATGTGAGTGGTAGAGGTATGTGGAGGTACTGGGATACGGGGGTTAATGGGTGAGAAATGGATAAGGTGGAGGAATGTGGGGGAATGGGGGTAAGGGGGGTCAATGATGAAGAAATAGGTACCTATGGTGAAGGAATGTGTTGAAATTGGGGTTATGGGGGTTGAATGGGGTAGAAATGGGTATGGTGTAAAAATGTGCAGAAATTGGGGTAGACGGGACCAATGGGGAAGAAATTGGTATGTAGGAGGAATGTGAAGAAATAGGGCACGCGTAAAGAGGGAAAATGGAGTCCGAGAATATTGGGTGGAATGAGGCATGGAGAAGGAGTGGAGGTACGAAACAATAAGAAAATGGGGTGAAATGGGGCATAGGATTGAAATTAGAATAAATGAAGAATGGGGGTTTAATAAGGAAGCGCATGATATGAAGTTCGGATTGCGCGTTCTTGTTAATTAAAGACTTTCACGAACGTTGTTAATAATCCCTGAATTATGTATAAAGGCGCTGTGTGCAGGCTGTATATAAAGGCGCTGTGTGCAGGCTGTATATAAAGGCGCTGTGTGCAGGCTGTATATAAAGGAGCTGTGTGCAGGCTGTACATAAAGGCGCTGTGTGCAGGCTGTATATAGAGGCGCTGTGTGCAGGCTGTATATAAA